GCCTACAGGAACAACCCCACGAGACAGACTGTTGCAAGCCAGTGAAGATCTCAGACACTGTCCAGTTACTAACTAATGCTGCACCAGATGCTATAAAGATGATCTCTATAGATGAAAAAGAACTACGTACCTTGAGACCAAATAATCTGTTCAAATGGCAAATGAACAAGAACAAGACCTTCCCTAATGTTCTTACCACCATTTCCATTCTGTGTAGGTGACTCCAAGATAGCATTTTGCCTCTGGAGTGTGGATGGCAGATCGTTGAGTCGCAGTGACAATGTTCTCTTAAATGGCGATGAAGTCTCCTGGAGTTTCTCAAAGCCTCTGAACGAACCTTGTCGCTCAAGCAAATTGGCAGTAGCATGAGGTCGTTGCACTGCATATGGATTGTTCGTTGCCCTTACTGGCACTGGCTCTACAGAAAAAGATAATTCCATGTAAAGCAGATAAGCAACTTTTGTAAATTAATTATTTGACAGGACAACAACGTTATTTCTGACAACTAGGCACCACTGTTGTGGAATCCAAATTGTGTTTAAGTAAATTAAAGGACTTTTTTTTTTTTAAGTAGCAAGTTGGGTGCATTATAATGAAAGATTCATAAATGTATAGAAGAGTTAAGAGTTGAGCTGAGTCAAGAATTGATGTCACAGCACTCAGGGTATTCCAATGCGTGCTCCGTCCTCATCTTCAGCACCCAGCGCAGAGTTCCAATACAGTGTACCGGTCACAATCTGGTTATATGTCCATCTTGCCTTTCCTCTGAGTGTAGTGAGCCGGCCAGACCCTCTGGTTACACCCAGGTGCCTCATTCTCTCCAGGCCATAATAATCTTGTTTCTCTTCTGATTCGATTGCTTGTTCCCAAAGGGCCTTGATCACATTTGCCTTGTCATGTAAAATGTATTTAAAATGTATAGAAGAATTGACACTCAGTGAGTGATGTGGTTATTATTATGGAAAAAATGTATCTAAAAGTAACTTAAATACCAGCCAGAAGCAAAACATCAATGGCTTTATTGGTAAGTACAACACTCTGTTCTTCCTGCTACCCTGAAGGAGTGGCATGTCAGTGAATTAGGTTATTCACTTTAGTCTCAGAAATCTTTGCACAGGTTGAGAATGTTAACCATTCTTTCATGGGACATGTAGGAAACAAAAGAGATGGACAAATAAAAACACAGAAAGAAAGAACACAAATGAGTGGGAACATATAACATTCATAGAAAGACACACAAAAACACCTTTGTCTGAAATGATGGCATGAGACAAGAACACACTGGGAAATAAATCATACACACTGCAAAAGCTGCCAAAGTGATTGTCTGGGTCTTAAAAGAAGACAAAGCAATACACTGCAAAAAAAAAAATAGCAATCCGCACACATATGTTGGTACAATAACATGACAAAAGGGAAGAGAGACAAATAGTATCAATAAATAATTAATCTGTGGTTTACCACACCACCCGAAATATTAGCCTGTCCCATGACCTGGGGACTTCCCCTGTTTGGGGTAGGATATTAATAAAGCACCGAATGGTCTACTCAACTTTCCCTTACCAGCCAAAATTGCACTCTGTGGATCCACAATTCTCTCAGTCATGGTCGTCTGCCTAAACGAGCCAGTTCGCTCAAAACTTGTCCGTGACTGGTTGTAGGTAACGGTGACCCCTGTCTCCTTGTCCCGCTTCTGCTTCTTCTCTCACCGGGGCCCTCACGGGAAGCAAAGAATAGTGACACTGCACCCTACCAGGCATGTCGTAATAGGCGACTAAGGGTAGGGTTGGGCTTGAGGTTGGCTACCTCATCCTGTAAAAACCATAGCCACAAAAACCAACCAACCATGGATAAGTCAAAAAGAGAAGCAAATAAAATCCAGCCAACCAAGATGAGGGGAGGCTCTTCAAATAGAAGAAGTATGACACGGTGTGGAGAAAGCCGTAAGGAGTCCGGATCGTTGACTTACCTCCTCTCAGCTAGGAAAACCTCCAGAATTGGCACCTGGAATGTTAGAACTCTCTATGATATAGGGAGAACAATGGAAGTAGCAAAGGAAATGAAACATTTTAGAATTAGTATTTTGGGGTTATGTGAAACTAGATGGACTGGGACAGGGAAAAGTATTCTTAATTCAGCAGAAACTATTTTGTTCTCAGGACACACAGAGGAAAATTCGCCGCACAGTGAAGGAGTGGCCCTGATGCTATCGAAAGAAGCAGACAGGGCACTAATAGAATGGGAAGCTGTGAGTCCCAGAATAATAAAAGCATCTTTTAGAACAGTAAAACAGAAGATGAACATGTCGGTAATACAGTGTTATGCACCAACAAATGATAAAGATGCATCTGTTAAGGAAGAATTTTACATGCAGCTTCAAAATATTATAAATAATGAAAGAAAGGGCAACTTAAAAATTTTTATGGGTGACTTGAATGCTAAGATAGGATCAGACAACACAGGTTATGAAGAAATTATGGGGAGACATGGTCTAGGAGAAATGAATGAAAATGGAGAATTGTTCACAAATTTTTGTGCAGGTAACCAGTATGTTATTGGTGGAAGTATTTTTCCCCATAAAAGAATACACAAGGCAACATGGGAATCACCAGACCATAAGACAACTAATCAAATTGACCACATATGTATTAACAAAAAGTTTAGATCATCCCTTTACGATGTTAGGGCTTTCAGAGGTGCCGATGTATTTACTGACCATTTCCTGGTGATAAGTAAAATCAAGTTGAAACTAAAAAGATATATAACATCTTATAATCATAGAAACCAATATAATGTAGGCTTTCTCAGAGATAAAGAAATTAAGGAACAGTTCTCAGTTACGGTCTCTAATAAGTACCAGGTGTTGCAGCAGTTAGCTGAAGATGTCAACACAGAAGTCTGCTGGGATCAGATCAAAGGAATCTGGAATTAATCTTGCGCAGAAGTTCTTGGCAAGAAAGAAAGGAAACATAAAGCATGGATAACACCAGAAACCATTAAACTGATTGAAGATAGGAAAAGTAAAAAGGCAGAATTAAACAATAGCAAAACTAGAGCTGCTAAAGCTAGAGCTCAGAAGAATTACACAGAAGCCAACAAGGAAGTTAGGAGGCATATAAGGGCAGATAAAGTGAAATATCTAAATGATCTAGCACAAGAAGCGGAGACAGCAGCAGCAAAAGGAAACCTCAGAGAACTTTACAGTAACACAAGAAAATTAGTAGGTAAATATAGTCAGCCAACTGGATCAATCAAGAATAGTCAAGGAAAGGTACTTACTAACACTAAAGATCAAATGGACAGATGGGTTGAATATTTTGAAATGCTTCTAAATAGACCAGGCCCAGAGGTTCCCCCAGATATCCAGCCTTTAGAAATGGAACTGGATTTCAACTGTGAGATACCATCCAAAGAGGAAATTAGAAAAGCTATAAATCTTCTTAAGGAAGGAAAGGCGTCAGGCCCAGATGGTATCCCAGCTGAAGCCATCAGGACCAACATAAACACATCAACAGAATTGCTACATAGATTATTCAGTAAAGTCTGGGAGACCAAAGAAATACCAGCAGACTGGAGAGAAGGATATCTTGTGAAACTGCCCAAAAAAGGTGATCTACAGGAGTGTGAAAACTATAGAGGAATTATGTTGCTGTCAGTTCCTGGAAAAATATTAAGTAGAATTATTTTGGAAAGATTAAAAGATGCTATTGATAAAATGCTAAGAGATGAGCAGGCAGGTTTTCGGTCAAACAGATCCTGTACTGATCAGATAGCTACATTACGTATTATAATAGAGCAAAGCATTGAACTGAACTCACCACTTTACATTGGATTTATAGACTATGAAAAAGCATTTGACAGCATAGATAGGGAATCTCTCTGGAAATTGATGGGGCACTATGGAATCCCACAGAAAATTATCAACTTAGTAAATGCAACATATAAAGACATGAAATGTCGAGTTCTTCATGAGGGAAAGCTAACAGATGCATTTGAAATAAAAACAGGTGTGCGACAGGGATGTCTTTTGTCGCCTCTCTTGTTTTTACTGGCTATAGACTGGACTATGAAAACAGTAACTGCTAACACCAAGAATGGAATTCAGTGGACCCCTACAAAACAGCTTGATGATCTGGACTTTGCTGATGATATTGCTCTTCTGTCCCATTCACGGAATCAGATGCAAGATAAATTAAATATACTTAATGCGAGATCACAGCAGCTTGGTCTGAATATCCATAAAGGAAAAACAAAGATAATGAGAATAAATCAGGCAAATAGTAATGTGGTTTCTCTTAATGGCACCCCACTCCAAGACGTGGAGTCGTACACCTATTTAGGTAGTAATGTAGATAAAGATGGAGGAACTGATAGAGATATTAAAATAAGAATACAAAGGGCAAGAGGGGGCTTTCATAGCACTAGGGAATTTGTGGAGGTCAAAAGAAATTAAAATAAATACTAAACTAAAAATTTTTAATTCTAATGTCAAATCAGTACTATTGTATGGGGCGGAAACATGGAGAACAATGAAGGTAATTACTAATAAATTGCAGACATTCATTAACTGGTGCCTGCGCAGAATAGAGGGAATAAAATGGTATGATAGAATAACTAATGTAGAACTTTGGGAGAGAACTAAACAGGCTCCAGTGGATCAGGAGGTGAGGAAAAGACGCTGGCGTTGGATAGGGCACTCACTGAGAAAACAGGAGAACAGCATAACTAGAATGTCTTTGCATTGGAACCCACAGGGGCATAGGAATAAAGGAAGGCCAAAAAACACATGGAGAAGAGAGCTGGAGAATGAGGTTAGAAAGATTGGGAGGACATGGGGAGAGCTCCATGTAATGGCGAAGGATATAACGACTTGGCGTGAGTTGGTTGAGGGCCTATGCTCCATTGGGGGATAGAAAGGCAGAAGAGATGACCTGGGGACTTCCCCTGTTTGGGGTAGGATATTAATAAAGCACCAAATGGTCTACTCAACTTTCCCTTACCAGCCAAAATTGCACTCTGTGGATCCACAATTCTCTCAGTCATGGTCGTCTGCCTAAACGAGCCAGTTCGCTCAAAACTTGTCCGTGACTGGTTGTAGGTAACGGTGACCCCTGTCTCCTTGTCCCGCTTCTGCTTCTTCTCTAAACAGATTGCAAAAGCACACCCCACAGCATGGCTTAACCTCTCACCCTAAACAGAATAAAGAAGAACAAATATGCACTTGAATCAATGCAGTCATACTTAACACTGGTTTATTTTAGCAGATCTTACTCAAACTCAGTGTTAATGTCATATTTCAAACTAAGTCCTGTTACTGTTCTATGTGAGTGCACTAACTACTCTTTGAAACTATCTATTTATGAAATCATATACTATATTTAGAAAACAAAATGATGCAGTGAAACTCAAGAAAACAATTACATATTTTATTTGAATTATTTCTGTTGTATTATACTCATTTACTTCTAGAGAACAATTTTGAGGAGATCCTTACAGTTTCATTCTGGGATCTGATGCAGCCCTCAGAAAAAATATCTCAATACCGCTAAAATACAACCAAATAAGCACAGTGTGAAATAATAAAAGAGGCACCACAAGGATTATGTAACAAAATGAATAAAGTTTCATTAATCAGTTTTTTTTAATTCATGGAGAAATGCCAGTATTGTTATTTATTTGGCCCTGCTCCGCGGAATTCTGCTTGTTGTTGTAGTACTGTTAAAGGATTTTAAGAGTCATTCAGTTGATTTTGAGCTAATTAATTAACTGCTCCCGTAGGGTGAATGTTAAGTTAGTAGAATTTAATAGTGTGGCCTTCACAGGACATTGCAGAACCAACCCTGGTATTTGTTGACTATTTGGGTTTCACCAGACAATTTTACATTGGGTAGTTTGCCACTGATTTGTGAGTGGCTGGCTCTCAAAACAATTGTCAAATTACTGCAAAGCGATCTGCTGCCAAACAGCCTGAAGCTGGAAAAAACCTAAGCCACAGATTTTACCTGTTTGTTATTAGGACACATTAAAAAAAATACAAATGATGTCAGCCTACCATGTACTGTTGTGTGCATGTGAAACAAAAACAACAAGCAAACAAGCTGTTAAACATGTAATGGCAGTACAATATGGTTTCCGAGTAAAATGTCAAGAATACCAGACTGGGAAAAAAAAATTTAATGAGACCATACAATAGAGGAAAAATCCACATAGTAGTTACATTAATTAGGCACAGGCAGGAAGGTTATGAGGGGAATAAACAAATAAACTTATAAATGTTACGACATTTAGCAAACTTAACGGGATAGCAGCAGCAAGGTGAAGAGAAAGAAATACTTGGACGATAATGGTAATGGTAATGTTAGTTTCAGATTCATAGCAAATGGGTCGCCCCACAGTTGCTCTGCTCCTCTGCCAACGAAAAACACACAGAATGTTTATCACAGTCCCTTGTGGAAAGATTAACAGACTGCTGTCTCAGTGTATGCACTAGCGTACACAAGCATAAAAAACATACGTAGTTATCAGAAGTGCTAACACAAATATTTAAACGTTGTGGACACAAGACAATATCACAGACCTGATCTGAAACTATGATCATTTAAGATGGCAAATCATGATAACCCCCTCCTGTGTGAGTACACAGGGTCACATTACTGAGAATAAAGAACAGATTCCTACACCCTAACAAGCACATCATAAGAGCTGACGCTCACCTGCAGATCGGAAGGCCATGGGTTTGCTCCCTGGTGGAGCCAGACTTTTTTTTTTTTTTTTATGACTTTGCCTCCCAGGTGGACCCAGCCTTGAGTGGGTACCTGGTGCAGTCCCAGGAAGTAAAGGTGGCAGGCATGATGCAGACCTATACAATATCGGCCTAGTCCTATACGCCTGAAGAGGTGGGAAAGGGTCCTTTACTTTAACTTTCTACACATTCATGTATGAATGAATTGTTTCATGTCTTCTTTAAACATAATTAACAAAATTGAGATTCCGGACATATATAAAGAATACTCTTTTTCTTCTTCTGCTCTATCCCCTAATGAAGTATAGGCACTTGACAATTTGTGCCGTCATCCCATCTTGAGCTATCATGTCCTCCCCAATTTTTTTCATTTCACCTTCTAATTCTTTTCTCCATGTTTTTTTTTTTTTTTTGGGGGGGGGGGGGGGGGGGGGGGGGGGGGGGGGGGGGGGGGGGGGGGGGGTTCTGCCTTTACTTCTTTTACCCTGGGTGTTCCACTTAAGGGAATTGGTTATATTGTTATCCAGTTTTCTCATTGTGTCTTATTCAATGCTCATGTCCTTTCCTCACTGGTTTATACAAAAAAATGGAACTTTCACATGTTGTTATTTTGTTGGTGCCATACTGAGGTGATTTCTATGAGATGTTTAAACAGGCAAAGGTCTTATAAATTCTACAGCTAGCATATTTGCTGCTACTCCATTTAGCAGTTAATAGCTTTGCTAGGGTTTGTTGTTGTTGTTGTTGGTCCCTCAATTTGCTATTACACAAGTATTTAAAACTGTTGCAACAGTTTAAAACACATATATAATAACAGAATCCATTATATAATTAGCGTGATTTCTAAAGCATCCTGATGCATTCATTACACTGAACTAAAATGGTGTTTGTATTTCTTTTTAATGTACCTAATATATTTAATTGTTTTGTTTTTTATTTTTAAAATAATTTGTGTTTTTCAAAATGGATCTATTAGACTATTTTTTTAATACATTTGAGCTTTTCGTGGCATTAAACTGTTCAATAAAAAAACATAACAAAGCTACAAATGACAAAATGAACATCAATAATGGCTGCAACCAGATTAAAGAAATCCAAGGGGGGAATAAGTGATGCTTAACATGGCACTGATTTATGGAAACAACAAGCAAAAATGTAACTGGGGGAAGTGAGTTAGTGCAGTGGCTAAATGCTTACCTTGTCTACTGAAAGGTAGATAAACACTCAGTACATTCTGATGCAGTCTGCAGCCATGCCTGAACCCAGGATTGGGAAACTTATGGGACACTCGGGGCATTCCTACATCTGCTCCATTCCCTTCATCATTAGCCAGCAAAGAGTTCACATACTGACTGCTGGTGGCACTCCGGCATTCCTACACCTGCTCCATTCCCTTTATCATTAGCCAGCAAAGAGTTCACATACTGACTGCTGGTGGCACTCGGGCATTCCTACACCTGCTCCATTCCCTTCATCATTAGCCAGCAGAGTTTACATACTGACTGTTGGTGGCACTCGGGCATTCCTACACCTGCTCCATCCACTTCATCATTAGCCAGCAAAGAGTTCACATACTGACTGTTGGTGGCACTCCGGCATTCCTACACCTGCTCCATTCCCTTCATCATTAGCTAGCAAAGAGTTCACATACTGACTGTTGGTGGCAGTCCGGCATTCCTACACCTGCTCCATCCCCTTTATTATTAGCCAGCAAAGAGTTCACATACTGGCTGTTGGTGGCACTCGGGCATTCCTACACCTGCTCCATCCCCTTCATCATTAGCCAGCAAAGAGTTCACATACTGACTGTTGGTGGCACTTGGGCATTCCTACACCTGCTCCATCCCCTTCATTATTAGCCAGCAAAAAGTTCACATACTGGTTGTTGGTGGCACTCGGGCATTCCTACACCTGCTCCATTCCCTTCATTATTAGCCAGCAAAGAGTTCACATACTGACTGCTGGTGCCAGTTGCAACCTGATGAAAAGTCTGCCCATCTTCTCCTCTGCCCGCTAAAACCCACCCAGACCCTCTGTTTACTTCCTACTCAATCAGTCTTTTCAAGAATGGATGGATTATCTGTTTCTTTTGTTGCAATGTCCCCTTGATTCCAAACAGCCTTCATTAGACCAGCTTTATAAAGAAGCCCACCACCCAGAGCAGCAGCAACAGCTAATCTACAGCCTGCTCATTATTCTGCACATCAGAATCTTGATATCAGTCTTATTTAGCGATCTGAGCCACTCTACATGTAGGACACCAGTCTCTATTTTTAGAATCAGAACATATGAGACATTACTACTCTCCAGCTACTGAAAAGCTGGCTTTACGGCCTCTACCTCTATTCTCATGCTTGATGTTTTGACATTATATGCAGGCTTTTCTTTTTTTAAACAATGTCATTCACCTTTACAATGAAACCACACCCACTTTTTCTTCTGTGTATACAACCAGGCCTTGACAGCAGATACAGCCGTAAAATTGCAACAAAATCCCATGGCCATGAATTAAAAAAAAAATATTTTTAAAATATGAGAATCAACACTGAAAAGACATGGTTTGTGCTTTCTACTAGAGCAGCTGGTTGCCTGCTGAGAGTATTACACAAAGAATGAACTCCACAAATACAGCAAATATTCTCCAGAGCTCTCAAAAGCACCTGCACCCAGAAGAAAGTCTGAAGCTGAAACCCACTCACTACCTTTGTAAACAGTTTAACCACTTCATCACTTGGAATAACATAAATTATACACACAAAATGCAACTCCAGATGATTATACATTGTTTCCAGCAGTTACAACATGTGTATAAATGATACATTTATACTGGCATGTTCACGTGAAAAGTTTGGAGACAGTGGGTAAGATCAGACATAAGCAAAGAGCTTAAGTAGTTAAGCTACTACCATTAAACTTAATTTTTGAATGCAAAATATTACAAATTCAAAGAATAACAATTTAAGAGAGAAACAAATTCAGATGTTTATATACATAAATTTGGACTTCTATGTGTCTGCTAAAGTGAATATTAAAAAAATTTAAAAATTTACACACGCACGCGCGCACACACAAAAACCACAATTTAACGACAGGGGGACTAACTCAGTAGACTAAAGCAACTAGGAAGCATGACCAAAAAAAAAAAAAAGCATACACAGACAAGAAGGAGAAATATTTGTACATCTTTCTCAAAATAACAAAAATACTTCAACAGAAATGAAAACATTCCTACAGTAAAGTAATAATCATTACGGAGAACCAGACAATAATTTTCTTCATTCTTCCCATTATGAGAATTACTTTACTTTGCGATTGTTTTGATGAAAACCCAGTTCAAAATATTTTCTCATAATTCTCACATAATAATGTATGTTTTCCACCAAACTCCCCCTGAGATCTCCATAAAAATTCACTCCACAGATAAGTATGTCCGTGAAACAAATACAAG